CAAAGGAAGCATCATATTTTTTCACCTGAAGTGATCACCCTCACGCCTACTGCATGGAACATGATCTGCTCTAGAGTAATCCCTTTCTAAATCCAGTTCTCTCACAAAACACCCTGGTTACAAAGATGGAATGCAGGTACTTCTATGAAAGTGTGTCTCTGTAGCTTTCAGCCACGCAACTAAGTGTTGTCTTTCTACACATTCATGTTTTACAGATGACCTTCCTCTCTCCACAGGTAAGGCACATATATTAGTCCTTAGGCAGATAATGTAAGCGTTTCAGTTATTCCTACTCTTCAGCAGAAAGCTTAGCTACCTGAAAGGTTACAATGAGGAGATGCGGTACCGAGAAATTCCAACACTGTTAAAATGGACATTTTAAAAAAAACAACATGCAGCTTCCTAGGTGGAATGAGGGAATTTATAAATCTATTAATAATGCAGAAAAACTCTGGGCCTTCAACCAGCAAGCAAGTGAAACTAGGACTAACTTCCAACATGGAAGAAAAATGTTAGACAATGATCTTGAGGGATAATGGAAGGAGACCTGAAATTCTGTCTCCCTTGGATATTCAAATATGCCTTGCCACTTCCCTCTATTTTATAAAAACCAATGAAAAAGACTAGCAATGAGTGAATTCTCTTTAGCTACATTCAGAAGTATCTTAGCATTGTAAGAGTTAACTCAATATCTTTCTGACTGTAAAAGTAAGTCCTATCCAATCATTTTTGTTGGAGTGCAAACCTATTGGCTAGGTTGGTCTGGTCTGAAGGAAGTTACAGTTCAACAACATATAATAAGACTAGGAGATTTTCATCCCAATTTTATCGATTCAACTGTAATTCAAAATTAATCTCGCCTTCTTGTATAACACTAGACACTAATCACTTTTTCTATACAATTGGGAATTGTTATACCCTGCTTGAACTTGTTTGAAGGAGATGCAATATAACTAACAAACACCTTTGCACAATTTATCTTATTAAACTGAGGGGACGTGAGGTTGGCATCTAGGAAATCAATAAAGATAGCTATTATTTATCCGAGGCCTGAAATTCTCTAAAGGAACAGAACAATGACACTGGCTCAAAAGTCAGAGAACTTCAGATTACAGACCTGCATTCTCTCCCAAAAATCTACCTCATATTTTTCCATCAAATAGATCAATGTATAGGACTACCAGTTTTTGAACTAAAAATAAGTATTGGCAATCACACTTTATCTATGCCCAGTAATGAAAAGTGTTTTAAAACTCATTATTTTAATGAGCTGTTTTTCTTGCATCTGATTTATAGAAATCCTCTTTGACTTGCCTGTTAAATGCTATAGAATGTTGTCCCTTGGGAACTGTGTTTGGCCCCTGTTAAAAACTGTAAAAAGGATCTCTTTCACCAGGTTCTTAACTGTTAATTGATTTTAACATTACATTGAATTTATGCCTTTCACTTTTAATACTCTGATTTAGCTTCTAATTAGTTGCCTATTCACTAGAGTAGAAGGCTGGGGTTTAGATCAAATAAAACAAATAAGGAAAACGTCATTCAAAGAAAAATGGTGTAAAACTGGCAATTTTTGAAGGTGCCAATTTTTCTTTGCTTCTCGTATTGTTAAATTTCTTTAAAAAAAGAAAAGAAAAACCATCACTAGGGAGGTGTTAATGCGAAATCTTATACAGATAATCATATCTGCAGTCAGAAACAAAGTTTGTTCTCTGAAAGTACTTGGATACAAAGGGACACAGAAAGCTGCTTTTGTTTATTTTATTTATTACATTTACCTTCTGCCTGACTCCCCAAACCCCCTGCTTTATAGCAAATAAGACTAATAATCAATGTATTCAGTAGCGTTGATAATTACTTGCTATGAATTCTGCAAGTGGTTTTTCCAGGAGATCCCAGGTACTGAACGAAGCTCTGAATGCAAAGTTTGTTTTCTACAAACCAACTATGTATTTTGGAACACACACACACAAATGATAAAATGCTATAATTTTTGGATTATGCATCCTCTTCTGACCCAGGAGGAAATTAAAGGCAACAACATCTCCCGTCCCTATTGCTTTTGTTTAATACTTATTCACGTTGGACAAGGACTACTTTTTCCCTCCTTTGAGCAGTTTTCTTTTTTGCTGGATAGGTAGTGTTTGATACCACTGTAGTTTCATACCCTTCTCATTGTACCATAGAAAACTAGATTCATTTTAAAGCATACTGCAATCAGAGAAAAGGAAAGGAAGAAACTAGAAAAAACAACAACAGGTGAATCTGCTGAATACCTCTTGCAAAAAAACCCTCTACCTTGGCTAACTTCTGTGAAATAAATAGGTTTAAACTATTTTAACCATACCCTAACCATCATCATCAAATCCTAGCCATCATATATTTGTGTTCCCAAAAGTTAAGTTCCAGGTGATTTTTCTAAACTGAACTGTTTTATGGAATTAGTTCAAATTTACAATGTTTTGAACAGAGTATGTCAGGTGACTAGAATGTTATTTCACAAATAGAAAAATGAAAGGAAAGCCTGCAGGACTGGCAAATTCGACATAGTGGTTTGGTTGAGTAAGTCTACTCTAGTACAGCATGGTCTACTCATAATTTTCTAGAATTTCCAAGGATATTTTCTCAACCCTACTGGAGCTAAAATGAGATGCATCAGGGAGCTTTCCTACACAAAACATATGGTCTACCAGTGAACTATACCTTTTTCAAATGAACCAATATGTATTCTGTTGAAAAGATACATACCTGCAGAGTGAAAAACAAGCAAATATTCTTTGGATTGGGAAGCACTACACAATCTAAAACCATCTCTATCTATTGGTCTGGACGGAATACGTGCCTACTTCTTAAAAAAGCTATCCACTGCCATAGCCGAACCTCTAAGCATAATCTTTGAAAAATCTTTCAGGACCAGCTCCTTGCCAAAACTATGGTCACAAGCCATGGTCATCCCCATCTTCAAAAAGGGAGATCCCAACCTAGTTGAAAAATACAGACCAATCTCTTTATGCTGCATCACCTGGAAAGTCATGGAATCAATTATTAACCAATCCATTATCCTCCACTTAGAGACAAACAACCTACTCTCTTTTAAACAATTTGGTTTCAGAAAAAAAACTATCCTGTAATCTGCAACTCTTACACTGCAAAAACATATGGACTACACAACTTGATCAGGGTAAAGCAATAGACGCAATCTACATAGACTTCTGTAAAGCCTTTGATTCAGTGGTACATGACAAACTACTCCTAAAATACTATCTTACGGTATCTCTGGACAACTGCATAACTGGATAGAAGCATTCCTGTCAAACAGACAACAAATAGTCAAAATTGGGAGTCCTATCAAATTCTGTACCTGTCAACAGTGGTGTCCCCCAAGGCAGTGTTCTAGGACCAATTCTCTTCATATTCTACATAAATGACCTCTGTGATCATATCAAGAGCAACTGCGTTCTCTTCGCTGATGATATAAAGCTATTCAACACCACAGACAATACTGCTACCCTTCAAAAAGACCTCAACTATGTATCAGAATGGTCAAACAAATGGCAACTTCAAAACTCAACAAATAAATGTCCTGTCTTACATACTGGCAAAATAAAATCAGAAAATAAAATACAAGCTGAATAGTCAAGACCTTGTTGATGATCCAAACTCTGTCAAGGACCTTGGAATACTCATCTCTAATGATCTAAGTGCTAGAGCCCACTGTAACTACATAGCCAAAAAGGCATTAAGAGTTGTTAACCTAATCCTGTGTAGCTTTTTCTCTGGTAATATCACACTGCTAACTACTAGAGCATACAAACATTTGCTAGTCCAATACTTGAATACAGCTCATCAGTCTGGAACCCGCATTACGTATCTCATATTAATACAGTTGAGAAAGTCCAGAAATATTTCTCAAGAAGAGTTCTCCACTCTTCTATTCATTGCAGAATACCTTATGCCACCAGACTTGAAATTCTAGACCTAGGAAACCAAGAACTACGCCGTCTTCGGTCCAATCGAAGTATAGTACATAAAATCATACATTGCAATGTCCTACCTGTCAATGAACACTTCAGATTCAACCATAACAATACAAGAGCACACAATACATACAAACTCAAGGTAAACCACACCAAACTTGATTGCAGGAAATACGACTTCAGCAACAGAGTGGTCAATGTCTGGAATACTCTCCCTGACTGTGGTTTCTTCCCCAAATCCCAAAAACTTTAACCTTAAACTGTCTATTATTGACCTCACCCCTTTCCTAAGAGGTCTGTAGGGGACGTGCATAAGCGCACCAACGTACCTACCGTCCCTGTTTCTTTTTATTTTTCTTATATGTATCCATTTCATGTATTCATAACTATGTTTATACTTATACCTGTTATCTTATAATCGCTTGACAAAATAAAAAAAATAAAAATAAAGTTGTTCCACTTCAATGTATAATTAGATGGTCATCAGAATATGTTCACCCTAATTGTAATTTGGTGTCTATATTCGCAGAGGGCTGGAATGAAGAATTGCACGATCTGAAATTCATTAAGTCTTCTCATCAAAACTCATATAAATCTAGTATTCAATCTCATAAGCACCTTCCCAGATACAAAAGTGCTTTTTCACTACATTAATATACATCCCCTAGTGCATTAAACAAATCATTAGAATGTTAAACTGAACCAATTTTATGATAGTGTAAACATGGCAGACACTTACTCATGGCTTAAAAGTTGAAACAGACTTTCTGAGAAGAAGTGACCTTGACTTGTTGAATCAAAACTTTATTATCTTTATCTCAGTAATACTTGAATCTAGTTTTTATTCCCCTGAAAAAGACAGCTTATACAAACAAACTCTTTCTCTGGAGTGTTTAGTATTTTGTCCATCTGTGGTTGATACAACCACACACAAAAAAACTTTGTTAATAAAAAAGAAGCAAACCCCCCCCCCCCCCCCCCAACATAAAAAAGGACAAAATTCCAACACTGGGATTATAAGTACTGAAACCATTCAAACTCTTCCCCCCAAAAGTGTCTGGCGTCCAAAAAATATCACATGGAATTTTTTTTTCCCTGTGCAGTAAACTCTGAATTTTTGTATTTATTAAATGTAGAGGCCACCCATCTTATGACACTGGACCACTCACAATTACAAAAATAAAATAAAATAATAAAATAAAATAGCAATAGCAATAGCAGACTCATGAACTGCTCCATGGGGCTTTACAGCCCTCTCTAAGCAGTTTACAGAGTCAGCCTATGGCCTCCAACAATCTGGGTCCTCATTTTACCCACCTTGGAAGGATGGAAGGCTGAGGCAACCTTGAGCCCCGTGTTGGATTGAACTCCTGGATGCGGGCAGAGTTAGCTTGCAATACAACATTCTAATCACTGAGCCACAAGGGCTCTAAAGTAAAACAAAATAAATAAATCCTAAATAAAATAAAAATAATTACACTTAAAAAATAAGAGCAATAGCATGAAAATAACAATTGAGAAAACCATTCAAAGAAGCTATGTCAGAGCCTGACTCATGCTATCACGGTCTCAGGATTAATGTCAAAGCCATGTTTTTAGTGCCTTGTTTTCACAGGGCAGAGTTAGGGCAAATCTAATTTTTGAGGCGATGCTGTTTCAGAGGGCAGGTGCCATGGTAGAAGGGATTGTCCTCCTGGGTCCTGATAGATGACATTCTCTTGCAGATGGGACCTGGCACATGCCTCGCCTGCCAGATCTAATAGGACAGGTAGGGATCATTTAATTAAATTCACATGCTCAATTTTTTTTGGAATACCTGAATTTGCTTCTCAGCGTTTGCCAAAAACTTTTTATCTTAAACTTGAGTATTGTGTATTGATTAACCAAAAAAAAAAAAAAAAAAGCAAATTGAAAAATTCCTCCTCAAACATGCAGCTATTAAGGTTTATTATAGATCATGGTATTTCTGTTTAAGTTTCAGTTCTGAGTAACAATTTTAAACTTTTCAAATAAAAATAAATAGTTAAAAGCATTTGGTACTAATTGCTAAGATTTTTGCCACTTTAGAGTGCAACTTCTTTGTTTTCCCCTTGAACTGATGATCTTCCTTTACTTTCAACCTGTCCCATTTTATACTTTCAAACTAGTCTTGAGACTCCATATTAGTTTTTTTTTTTTTGGCTGCTCAAATCTGAGCTTGTGCATTATCTGAGTTATTTCTTCTTTTCATGAGGCCTTTAATTTTATTTATTTTGGTTTTTTATTGGTGGCATGCTGGCTTCACTATTTTATTTTCAAATATTGTTCCCAGTTTTCTGGGATTAATTATTCTTGGTTTTACTTCTCTCTCTCTCCCTCCCTCCCTCCCTCTCTCTCTTGGTGTGCGTGTGCTGGACAATTACATTTGACCACATTCACATTTCACTTACATTTACAAGCGTCTATTCTTATTCACTAATCTATACTGTGGATAAAGTAGATATGAGCTTTTTTTCCTTTTTTATATCACTCTACTATATGGTTAGAAACCTAAAAGGAGTCGTATTTTAACAAGGTGGGTCGGAGGAAGTTTAGATGCAGCTGAAATCTGTCAAACGATAATAGTTAAAATCAAACTTTGTCTAGTTTTACTCATTGCATTTTGGTTCTACAGGAATTTTTCCTGTCAGTTTACTGTTTTCTAATAAATGATAGTAAGAGTTATATTGTTCTTAATAGTACATACTGCAATCTTTAAAAGACTTGTGATGCATATTTGCATTTTCTCTGTAATCGTTGCATGTCTTACTATCTGCCTATGTGTATTCATTCTTTTACACTTCTCTTCCCTAAAATTTAATTGTTTACATTTTTAATTGATGTCCTACCTTAAAACAGGATTTATACTCTTTTTCTGTTCTAAATGTTTGTGTATTGATCTAAACATATAAAATCCCATCACAAATGTGGAACTCATTTTAAAAATAAAACATTGAGATATTCAACTGGACAAATAGTCATGAGTTAAATCATATTGAATTTAGTGGGACTTCTTTCCAAATTGAGATTTACAATATAACAAGTCTTAAGTGTAAAGTTAAAACTATTGTTCATAATTTTGCTTTATTTTTGTTCATACCTTATCCCAACTGCTCACTTTGATTAAAAGAAAGTGAATTGTAACATTTGTAAATGCAAAAAAATATTAAAATACCTATGTAAAGATGGATAGATAGATAGATAGATAGATAGATAGATAGATAGATAGATAGATAGATA